AGGGACAATAATCCCTTCTAGAAATGGCTTCATGTTAATATAGCAGATGATATTTATGGCCATACTAGCATATCCCCAGTCTTAGGCTTCATGGTCTCCTTGTGCCAATGCTTTTAACCAACATCTTGGTGTCCTGTCAGTCTTTCCGTTGTCCCTGCAAATGGCCATATCTGAATCTGATCTTTTTCTTTTCTTGTGTTTCTGTACATGTGAACAAGCTAAATAAATCCACTTAACATGACAGAGCTTAGCATGAATTTGGCTTTTGTGTAACACTGTGATTGACAGTAAAATAGGTGAAGCAGTGGCCTTTTATGTGATGTCTTTGTTCCTGTTGATGGCAGCATTGATCCGAAGGGATGTTTTAAAAGCAAAGGTGCGTTTCTGACATGGGATGGACATCTGGTACCTTCAGATGTCTAGTACATGGAGAAAAAAACACAAAGCCTAGTCATTTCCTATACAGAGAGCCCATCCTCACGAAATCTTAGTTCTGTGCTGTCATTGCCTGCTCTGCCTGACTAATTTGAGGCTAAGCACTTGTTTTTTSGTTAATAAGCTGGAGGAGAGGGCTCTGCAAAGCACAGAATGACCCCCTTAGAGGATGATATTGCTACTTTCCCCACTGATGTTTCTGGTTCATGCCTCGGGTTATTTGTTTTTTGACTCAAGGGTCTTTTGAGGGTTATTTCTCCACCCAAAGCACATGCTCCGTCTAATGGACCAATGCCTTGAGCAAGCACTAAAGGAGAAGCACATGGAATGGGATCCCTGTGAGGATGAGTGCCGAGACATAACAAGGACACATGGATTTGCTGTTGATGCCTCTCCAGAATTTGCTTTCAGGTGTTTCCAGTCTCTGGGTCTTGCAGGTTGGGTAAAAGCTGCTCCAGGCAGCTGAGCATATGACTTCTTGCAACTAAGCCCCATCATCCAGCTACCGTGGTTCAATTTATTCCACTCTTTGCTGAGATTCAAGTCTTCTGTTGGTGGAAATGCCTTATCCCCAAGACAGGGTGCTACAGTGAGCCAGCCAGCAAACAAAATGTGATATAAGGCTGGCAAAAGAGCTGATAAATAGCTAGTGATGGCAGTTTTTATTTATTTTAGCCAAAGTTTTAAGTTTGTTGTTGTCAGGGAGCTGATTGTTGGGTCCCTTTTGGTTACAATTTCCATCTCGTTGGCAGCGCATAGGTGGAAGGATGCCAAGCTTTGCATCGAGATGCCTGTTTCGTAACAGATGYCTAATGTTGCCCAACACTTTTAGTTCTTGCAATAGGAATCGTGAGCTGGTTTAGGGAAGCCAAGCAGTTGCAGAATGACAAACCTTTGCTTGTGCCAGTTCCTTGTTTCTTCTCTTTTAGCTGCCTCATTAAGGTTATTCTGKTTTTTGTGCTTATAGCTTGGGTGTTAGAGCTTCAAGRGCTGCTCCTTCAAAGTGAAAGGGCRTATGTACAGCAGTATTTTCTCATGATCCCCAATTCACTCTGTTTTCTCATGTGGTGATGCTATCCATGCTAAGGACAATGCAACCCARCTCATTTTAGTTACTGGTTCATTGAGCATATTTATTTTATTTTGAGGGAGAGAAAGAAATCGTGACTCCAAGCCTTGTATCTCCCATAGCTAAGTATTTCGTGTGCATCTCAGCTGGCCTCCTTAACCTGTCCCAGAACCAGACATATTCCTGTGGACATAGCAGCTTTAATTGTTAAACCTCTGCATTTCTTCAATTTGCTCTCCTCATCCCTTGAAAGGATGGATGACTTTGGAGTGATGATATAATTAAAGAAATACATTGCAGGCTTGATTCTCACCTGCAGCATGGATGAAGTTCAGAGGTCTCATACCTTTTTCACTAGTCTTGATTGCACCCTCTTTCCTGGAGAATGAACCTGAGAAGAGCAAAGAACCCACTTTCCAAGATCTCAACAGTTTCTCTTTAGAGASGGCCCTGCAAATTGAGCAAGCTGCCTAAAAGTTGGATTCATACTCTGAATTTGCAGATGATGATCTTGACCTGATTTTTGATTCATGAGATAACTTGGAAATATTTGCACTTCATTATTTTTATTTAAGCAACTTAAAGATTTATTCTTAGGTTTTCCAGGGCCAAGATGCAGAACTGGTGTTAGCTGTATTGCTTATGCTGACTCTAAAATAAAAGCAGAGCATTCTCGCAATCACCTTCAGATAAATCTAACTCAACTGACGGTAATCCTCAAGATTTAGGAGCTTTTGAGAATTTACCTGTCACAGGTATGTTCTGTGACAGAATTTGGCCTTAAATTGTGTGCCTTTAGGCAGTATTGATCTTGTGCTTTTATTGCAATTCAATTGGAAATTGGGCTTGGACCTTTGTAGCTGGGAATAAAGCAGAATGCAGATGTGAAGGTTCCTATCAAACATATGATAGGCTTGCATGCCCATCTTTATTCCCATTTTTTTGTTTCACTCTCTATTTTATGCATGTCTTCTGTTTCTAAGATGCCTTTTGCGTAGTGTCCGGAGAACTAGGTCCAATTTGTTTTACAGGTTTTATTGCCCTTGGATTTACTAACCACACACCACAGGTCTGAGTTTTTTGCCAGAAGATTTCCAAAAACCCAATCAAACCTAATACACTAGTTGCTGCCTTTAATGAAATACTAAATTCATGGATTTTTGCCTCAGACAGCCCTGCTTCAAAAACCATCAGCTTTCAGCTTCTGTGGCTTGGCACACAAAACCTGAAGAGTTTGTGGCTGCTGCATGAGATCCTGGGTCCTCACCAACCAGCTGGCAAGAAGTGGTAGCTCTTCCAAGATTCAAGTGGCACTGCATTTGTCTTTCCAGTTCTGTTTCCAGAAACAGTCTGGTTTCATCCCCCCAGGTCACATTGTAGGGCTCTGCAATYATTCAGCATAAGAGGAAAAGAAAGATTGATCTTTCCCCCTCCATCTTTTCTGTATGTCTTTGGAAACCCTCATTCTGACATACTGGCATTTGGCATCTCCCACTCCTCCTTTGCTGGGGGGATGTGACCCCTCTGCAGCTCCCCCTGAGCTGTTGGGCTAAAAATTTTGCAGCAGATGTTTCACCTTGGGAAGAAAGTTTTCCACATTGGCATCTCAGCTTGCTAGCAATTGCAAATTACTAAATACATTTAAATGGTCAGGAAAGCCAAAGACAAATCATTTGCTGGTATATATGTATTTAGCACAAGCCCATCTCACTGTGTTGTCACCCCCAAAATGATATGCCTTTTGTGATTTAGAAGGGAACCTGTAAACATGTCTTTCATTTAACAGATACTCGTATTTTAAAAATAAAATGGCTACAAGTTTAATATGCACCTCATGATGAGTATAAAGCGATCAATAAGCAGCTGTGTCCCACAAGGTTATTCCAAGTTCGAAGCAGGCGCGGTGGCGATTGCTTTCCAAAATCGGATGCGGGCCACAGGGACAAGGTCACTGAGAGGATCTGGTGACAGTGTAAATAATAAAGCAAAGCTGAACTCGTTTGGCATCCATGGCCCCAAATAAGAGAGCTCTTTATTGTGTTGTCTTTTGGGCATTCTTACGGGACCTTTTGTCTTTCTCAGCATCTCTTTTTTTCCCCTCTCTTTTACCTTCAAATTGGCTTTTTTTTTCCTCTCCGTCTCTCCAAAGGGTATTTTGGTTTTCGATAAAATGCCAAAGGTGGTTTGACAGAAATAAGTCCCTAAATCAATGTCGTTCCRTTATTGAATTAGATTATTAGATACAGTGACGGCCATGACAGAGTAGATCCATTAAAAAGATAGATAGGTGGTCGTGCGGGAGCGATCACTGCTAACACTGTGATATTTTATCTTTGCTGGAGCCTAAAAAGGGCTCCAATGAAGCACACGATRCTTGGGTGAAATAATACGTTATGGTTACAGTCAATAGCGAAGCATTACAGATAAAATTAAATATTGAAATGTGTGYACTTCTAAGTCAGTTCCCCCTTTACACCTTGCGTGCCTTTCTTTCCATAGACTCATCAATGTTTTTCTTTCCCTTCCCCATGTAATCCCATATCACCAACAGCCAAAAGCTGTACGTGCTCAGGGACTTCTCTAGCAGCTGCACGTCAAACTTTAGTGAGTGGGTGGATCCTGTCCATCCATTTCCCTCCCGAGCCTTTCTAAAAATACCGTGAACCTTGACAAGGAGCTATTTTTAAGGAATCATATTCATGAGTGTGTTCATGGGAAGCTTAATTTTGGCAGGCTTGCATGTGTTAGATTTGCATGCTTCCATAGCGAAGGGCTTGGTGAACTTCTGTTGAAAGCCGGTTGCACATGGGCTAAAGAGAGAGCATCTGGATTTTGGGATCTCCTGGGCTGGAATTTCTCCTCCGAGTGAGTTTATAGCAGGAAAAGAAGTGAAGATATTTTTTAAGGAATGTTAATATGTGACTGAAGTCATTCATTGCAGGCATTTGCACAGCAGCCCTCAGCTTATTGGATCTGATTTCATTCAAAAAAAAAAAAATATGACTGTGATTTCTCTTCAGGGACCTTAAAGATCTTGCCATTTTTCCATAAAACACTTACAGAAACTGCTGCCAGCCTGTGGATGAAAGAAATCTCTGTGAGAGACTTGATCTTCAAAAAAAAAAAAAACAAAAACAAAACACTAAAAGGCAAAACAAACCGCCCACCCTTCGCAAGAAGATCTATAGGAAATGCCAAACTGTAGCATTCGCTTGGTAGCTGGAGCTGGATTGCAGTACCAGACTTGTGCACTGTAGGCATGTATTAGGTATGTTTGCTTTTCTCACTTGGAAAAAAAAAACCAAGAAGGCAAAGTGGAGCTGTGCTATAATGGAACCAGCGAGTAGGAGTGTGATTAAAAGCAAACTGTGAGCAATAAGATGGAAATTAAGCAGGTAAAAACTGTTCCACGCTCATGCCGTTCGGGTGCGGTGTTGCGCAGTCCTCATGTTTGCACATCTAAGAAATTTCCGTTTTTTCGCATAAAAAAATCCAGATATGAAGCCGAAGCTGCCTTCTTCGCCAACCTGAAACTGTCTGACTTCAACATCATTGACACCCTTGGAGTTGGAGGGTTCGGACGAGTTGAACTGGTAGGTAATTTTTCATCTTTCTCTGAAATTTGTGTAATGTTCTGGGAACAAGCAGTATGGTCTTTTCATTTGTCTTCATTATTATAGCTGAATTACTGGTAGAGAAGCATGTGTCAGGCTTATTTTGTTAATAGTTGAAGAAAGTTGTATTGCATTTGCAGGGAAACAGACACGTGTGAATAAACCTAAAGCATGCACATCCTAGATTAGGAAAGGAGCATCTATCTTCTCTCTCCAAGAGGTCTTATACCAAAACAGTACCTTTTTATGACACTGATTGCCCCTTAAAAAAGAACCTAAAGAGTTTCCATGGGGTTAAGTGATGAGATAAGAGCAGCTCGTATTTTTAATTGGCCAGAAGTGGAATCACGGTCCACCGGCTGCCCTAAGAAGTTGCAGATTCAGGTCTGGAGATTAATGTCCTGCTTGACTATAAAGCAAACTGTAGACTGTGAGGCAGACTATACATTACGTGTCTGATTTACAATTCACAGGAGGATATTCGAGTATTTCTTGTTTAACAGCTTTTAAAGAAAGCACCAAATTTAGGTTGGCTTTTTGCTCTGCTTGGGTTTGGAGCCATGTAGTTGTTGGATTCTTTTTTTTATTTAAGCAAGGGCTGAGCGGGAGGAGTCGGAAAGGGCAGCAGTTGCATGACCCATGTGTAAGATTGTGTGAATGCAAAAGCTTTTAATAGAAAGAGGGAGCTTAGTTTACATCACTGCACTCAAGCACAGAGGCGTTTCTGCTACCAGACACCAGTACAGTATGTGAGGAACTCCTCTAAATTAGGGGACAGAAAAGTAAACAGTTACTGCTGCCATCACAAAAGTGGACGGGAAATCCCTGCGCCAGACGGAAGCCAAAAATGCCTTCTTGCGTGATCCCTGTCACGCTGGGAACTTGGAAACCAGCAAAATGAGTGGCTGGATCATCGCCGGTGACGCGAGGGGTGAAATCTGTATTTCAACGACAACTTGTTTCTGTCTTTTCCTATTCAGAGGTTATTTAAAATCACGCAGTGAGGGCTTTGATCCCTTTCTGTTGCTCTATTTTTGTTTCCCCATTAGCAGCTGGTGTTTTGGAAAATGGTCACGGGAGCTCAGCCCCATACCATTGGGACGGTGTCCTTCCCCCWCTCCTTCTATAGTCATTGGAGAGAGAGAAAGAGGGGTCTCCTGTCAAGGATGCTTGAGAGCAAGAGTCTAATTTGGGCAACACTAAATCARTTGGGGTGTATTGCTGAAGGCAGCAAGTCTTCTAGCTCCAGCTGCTTTCCAAGTCAATGTGGTGGTAAGAAGAATCACATCCGTAGCTGAAACTGTTGCCTAGTCTCAGAAACAGCACCAGTGGACACGCTCTGTTGTTTTTAGGCTATCAGAGAACAGTTAGGTAGAAATAGGTAAATCTTAGGAGGCCCCAACTTTTTAGAAGCCTTCAGGAAGCACTGAGTATGGCCTCAGCAGCCAGCAGACGCCTATAGGTAGYAGAAAAGCCTTCATCATGTAGAAAAGCCTTCATCATCTTGTAGGGGGGTTGTCTTCAGCAGTGAGCTTAGGAGGTTCCAAGCAGAAGAAAGCTCCTTAAGGTCATTTTTCTGGGTAAATTACAAGTATAATGGTGAATCAGATGAGGAGCCTTCTGCTTCCTAGTTGGTTTAATAGAGGAAAAATGCAGGAAAAGGTCATGGTTTGCTGGTGTAGTCTACAGAAGAACTTTTTCAGCTACGGCACCTAAAATGAGGCTGATAAAATTATGCACTTAGTTCAGAATCGACACCCAAGCTAAGTAGGCAGAGATCTTACATGTCACATTTAACTATACATATTTTTCAGTTACTTAGGGGGAAAAAAAAAAAAGAAAGATTGTATTATATCACTAAACTGTCCTGTATTTCTGTTCTAGAAGATGTAGCAGCTCTTAACTCACACAGGATTGCACGCAAAGGGATAAAAGATATTTTCAAATTTGACTTCACGTTCTTGATTTTATTACTTTTCTTTTACCTCCCGGGAACTTATGTTAATATTCTCCCATCTTTACTGTTTTAAAAAGCTAAGTACCTTTCAGAGTTGCCATCTCCAGGCTGAGCATTGGCAAGCAAGGTTGTTATTAAAGCRAGCAAAGACGATTTTCATCAAAACGGAGTGTGGGATCACTACCTTTTGCCACTATCTTTTTTTAGGAAAATGTATTTTGTAATTTCAGGCTACAAAATGGAGGGATGTAGTATATGTCAGAGGAATGGACTCTTTTATTACCTTGCTGCATCACTGTAGCTCACTAGCTCACAGCAGTGTTGAAGTTTGTTTCTAAGAAAAATTCCAATTATTGCACTTCCCTTGAATAAAAAAAAAAAAATCAAATAAGTGAAGTGCATTGCAAGGAAAAGATTGTCTATAACTTAACCATAACTTCCATGCATCAGCACCCCAGCACAGCTCTATACCATCCAAAGACACAACTGGCAGGATCTGGGTAGAAACTGTAATGTCCAATTTGGATCTTTGGCTAAGGATAAATAATGATCCCATTTACCTGCGTTTTAGTTGTCAGATATGGTTTGGATAACTGTGAGAGCTTGTCTTTTGGGTGAATTTAAATGCAGGGACGTTTAAATTTGTTTCATCTCCTGGGTGAGACAGTGATTTAAATAATTTTCTCTTCTCTGGCTGTTACCTATGGAAATATCTTTTTGTCATGGTTTTGCTCCTGTGACAAAAAAACTATGTGTGCAGCATGGTGACAAATTTTGGGGCATTTTAACAGAACCTTTCCTAGGTAGTTTTATTTATCCAGCTACATCAAGAGAATTTTTTGTCATGTTTGTGCCTGCTAAGTTCTTTTCTTCAGAGTTGGCTCAATTTTTAGGGCTAGTTGATGCCACCTAATATCATGTCTTGTCATTATGGATATGCTTCTTCACCCGTAATTGGACTTCCTCTATGGTCAGCTTTAGCAGGTGACAGCTAAAGGGGTAAAACAGATGGCTTGTTGTAAGCACACTAAGTCCATTTTCTGACAAGGCCAAGCCTTCCTTCTTTCTTCACTGTTTGTGTTGCAGTTAGCTCTGAGAACATTAAACTGGCACAAACAAAAAAGTWTTTTTTTTCCCCATGGATCACCCTTGAAAAAGGTGCACTGTGTCATCTTCAGACACCAATTTCTCAACACTTCTCTCCCTGCATAGACCATCCAATTTCTGCAGCTCTACCTGCAAGTTTATAAAACCAACAAGTGACCTGAGGTAGATGAAATCAAGGCATTTCTCTGCTTGCAAGACAAGCAATGTGATTCCCGATCCTCAGAATTTACCCAGGGAAGCGGCCGCTGCCCTGGCACAGCCCATGCCGCATTCCTAGAACCACCCTCATAAATTGCTGGAGAGCCTGCCAAGTAGATGTAAGCTACTCCAGGATGTGTCTCCCCGCACCTGCTCCCTTGGCCACCTCCCTTAGCACAGGACAAAGCAAATAAGATATCTAGACCTCTTGATTGGAATAACTGACCTACCTATGATTTTTTTTTCTTTTTCTTTTCTTTTTTTTTTTTTTTTTTTTTTTTTTTTGCTTAAGATCTTCTTTGCTGACCCTCATCAGCAAGGTATATGAGCATCTTCAAAGGGAATTGGATATTGCTCTGACTTTAGTTTGCCTTTTTCCAGACAGATTGATTGCAGACTGAGCAAGTGGTAGAAGCCTGTGGTAGGGGCCTCCACTTTACTTTCATTTTGGTAGCTAGTATTGGATCTTCATAATTTATGCCTCCATAATATGTCATGATAGTGAATAAGTGTGTCAATTCATGTTCATAGCCTTCAGAGCACTTTTTTTGCAGAGGTCTAAGGTGCTGATCAGGTGTCCCAGGCGCTCAAAATATTCTCGACTTTACTGCTCTTGACCTTTTATTTGCTTTTAATTGGAACATCTGTGTTTCTAATCATCTACCCCAGGTCAGGTGTTTGGRCTGTAAGGGTAGATTGCTTTGGACAGCTCAGAAATGAATGTGACAGAGCACATAACCGTACAGGGTTAGATTCATTATRGCTATGGAGTAAGTTCACGAACATGATGACTGAGGCTTGCTAGAGAGTCTATTTCATTAGAAAGTCCTTGCTCACATTTCAGACCAGTCAAATATTCAGATTTGCGCATCAAAAACAATAGACTTTTCCACCATTTTGGCACATGTGCAAGTTGGGAGGGACTTAGTCACTGTGCGTGGCTTTGGGGAGCACATGGTTAAGGACAGCCTGAAGGCAGTCATATCCATCGGCAGCTTAAGGACATTCAGCCCTTACTTGACAAAATATTTAATTGTAAGTTTGAATGTTTAGCAGGTTTGCGGAAGTGGGTGTTGCTTAAAGCACATATTTCAAGCATATGTTCATTAAACATAGGGCAGGAAAGGACTGAGGGAGATCATCCACTCCTTTTTCATGACACATGGCAGAATCAGAGATACCTAAACATTTCTGACCAACTTTCCCTTAATCTCTTGTTGAAAGCCTTTACTGCATGCTACAGATGCCCGATGTAACTTATTCCCATAGTTACCTCTACTTGCAAGATTTTTCTAATATTTAACATAACAGCATTAATATCTTGCCTGTCATTTCTTGTTCTTCTTGTTCCAGAAGGACAATTTCTTGCCTTCTACTGCAGTAAGATTTACAGATTTGAAGACCCATATCACATTAACCTGAAGTACTTYATTCTTTAGAGAAAATTAATTTGCTTTTGAGCTTTACACACAACTCACGCTTTCCAGGCCTGTGATCACTCTTGCTGCTTTACCTCCAGGTGCTTCTCACCTCTTTTGATCGAAGGCCCAAACAAGACTTGTTAATCTAATCAGGAGCTGTCAGGTAGAGCAGAAAAACAGCGATTGAATGTAGTACTTTGCCTTTGCCAAGTTGTGTCTTATCTCAAGTAATCACTTCAGTTGGTCATGATCATGTTGAATTTCCTTGCTCTTCTCAGAAGTTCACATAGAGGTCG